TTCCTCGCCCCCCTTTCTCTTTTTTCTCCCTTTCCCTCCCTTTTTAGGAATCTCCACTTGCCGACGCCTTCCCACCTTAGGGTCCTGCCTGTCTTGCCTCCAGACACCTCAATAGTTGGAGCTGGTCTCCGACAATACTGGAGTAGGGTCGGCCCTTAATATAACTGATACACTTTTTAATATAGAGAGATAAACAGGTAGAAGCAACCCACTAGAAGTTAAGAAAACACAAGAACAGCATCCGTGCAGGATTTCAGAGGAGTATAGCTCTGCCAATATCTTGATTTCAGACTTTTAGCCTCCAGAATTATGTGACAACAAACTCTGTTTCAAATCACCCAGACTGTGACACTTTGCTATAGCAAACCTAGAAAACGAATATAGTAGGGCACTGGAAAAGCTGAATTTGGTGGAATGAAAATATATGGATAGGTCCCTAAGTTTGAGTACTATGTTCACAAAACAATGAAAATGACTAATAAATTATAATAAGATTTTAAAATAATATCCAGCTTGATCAAACATTTACAAATCAATGTCACATGCTTACTGGAAATGAACAAGCAGAAAGAATGACTAGATAAAATATTTGTCCTCCCAACAAATAAAAGTCCAGGACAAGATAAATTTGCTGGTGAATTCTATCAAACATTCAATTAAGAATGAATAGCAGCACCCTCCCTAGTGGCGCAGCAGGTTAAAGCACAGCACTAAGAAGCTAAAGCCACTTCAGCATGATTTGATACCTAACCCAGAGGTGACCACATGGCGTGGCAGACTTCTCCTGGCTCACCTGCTGCTCCCCTGAGCAGTGTACTTCATCAGCTGGCCTGTTCTGCTCCCCACTCTGTCTCTGGTGAATCCTCTCACCATCCCTGCACCTCTGGCCTATACCCCAGTTCTGTATGCATCAATAAATAAATCTTTAAAAAAAAGAATTAATACCAATCCTTCATAAACTTTTCCAAATAATAAAAGAGAAGGTAGCACTTTCAACTCTTGTTTTATAAGACCAGCATTATCTCAATATCAAAATCAAAAAGGATACCACAAGATAAGAAAAGTATAGACTAGTGTCCCTGATGAACATAAATCAAAAATCCTCAGCAAAATATTAGTCAGTAAATTTTTAATACATTAAGAAGGATCATATACCATAATCACGTGGTATTTATTCAAGGAATGTGAGGATGGCACAACACCTTTATCTTAATAACATACATTAACAAAATGAAGGATAAAAATCATACAATCATCTCAATAGATACAGATGAAGAACTTGAAAAAATTCAACATCCATACATGATAAAATGTCAACAGATTTGGTATAAAGGGAATGGACCTCAATCAGTACAAGTCATATATGTCAAAAAAAAAAAAAAAAGAATGTCCACTCACACCACTTCTACTGAACATAGTATCAGAAATCAACAGTAAGAAAAGGAAATAAAAGATGTTTAAATTAAAAGGAAGAAGTAAAACTGTTTGCAGATAATATGATAGTATATGTAGAAAATTCTAAAGATGCCACCAAAAAAATCTAGTAGAACTAACAAGTGAATTCAGTAAAGTTGTAGGATGTAAAATTAATATACAAAATTCTATTATATGCCTATATACTGACAGCAAAATATCAGAAAATAACAAGAAACAATCCCATTTACAATAGCGTCAGAAAGGAATATATCTCACAAGGAGGTAAAATATTTGTACATTGAAAACAATAAAACAGTGATAAAAGAAACTGAGAAATATAAATATTAATAGTCTATGATAAAGGACTCAAAGAATTAATATTGTTCAAAGGTTCACACTACCCAAAGCAATATAAAGATTCAGTGCAATATCTATAAAAATTCTAAAAGTATTTATTACATAAATGGCATAAAAATTCTAAAACGTATGTTAACACAAAAGATTCCAAATAGCCAAAGCAACCTTGAGAAAGAACAAAGCTGGAGGCATCAAGGTCCCTACTACAAACTTATAATAAAGCATTTGAGACACATGTCAAAGACCAACACAGGAATTTCTATACCCTCTTGGAAGACATTTCTGTTTGTCAACATTCGAGCATAATAGCATACCTGAGTGAATGATGTCAGCCCTACAGCTGCAGGATTTTTGGTTAGTTTTGGTATGCTGTCCACCATGAATAATTTCCCAGCATCCAAGTGTCTAAAAAGAAACAGGGTGAATAAATAAACTATTTTTCCAAGTATACAGATTAAATAGAATAGTCCACGATTAACTTTTGATAATTACAAGGTTCATCATGGGGAAATTAAAGTGGCTCTAGGTTTTAACCTTAAGTCCAGTGTCATCAATATTATTCTCATCCTAACTCCAAAAAGTATGTCCAAAATTTTCTACTTGGCCATCATAAAAGGGAATCACAATTCTTGTAAGTTTGAGATTAGAGTAAATGCTGAATTTAGTAGACAATCATGTCCAACAGAGCAAATGAACCATGGTACTAAATACTGACACTTATAACTGTTTTATCCTAAAACATACCATCAATGAATAGCCCAGGTGAAAACTGACTTTTCAGAGATACCTGTGACTGGAATTGAAAAATGGAGGTGTTGTTATTGTGTAGAGCAGCTCCCCACCATATGATTCTGGATCTATAAAATGTAAGTGTTTCTTAGTTATGTAGGCCACCTCAGTTTCCTTGACAACCAAATGTCGAGAAACTCCAGGAGCCTCTTTTGGAAGCTGGTCATTCACTGGAATGATATGGATTGTTACCACCTGGAAAAAAATGATTGGTTCCTTTAATTTCAAGTACCAAAAAGACATCAAAGATGACACCCCACAATCACCTAGTCACAGTTCAAATGACATTCAAAACATGCCATTTATAATATGGGAGCTGTTAAGAATTTGAACCAAAAATAGAATACTCCCCACCTCTACATTATTTTAAGAATATAATTTTCACAATTACAGTTTATATAGTCTTGAGCATATAGAGTGCTAATACACAAGTTCTGATTTTTTTTCTATACCTTCTTTCCACCAACATCTGTGATTTGCTTATGTCCCTCTAATAAGTCACTGATCCTAGAAAAAAACATAACTTTTGGTCCCTCATGATCCATTTACACTTAACACATCACCACATGCAAGAATTACTGCTTACAAAAATACCTATACAGTTACCACACCCCAGAACCACCCCCAAAACCCCTCCCCCAGGGTCTAATTCCCGCTGTTAATGACCTACCTCTCACTCTTATTTCCCCCGTACATTATTGTAACACCTCTGTTAGCCCTGACTATAATGGCTAATCTAGATTTTTCATACCCTTAGAGTTATCTCTAAAATAATAAAAGTCAGGCCCTCCCTGGTATCTAACAGGTTTAAGTTGAAGTTCTCTGAAGCCACTGCAACATGAATTTGACCTCCAGCCAGGAGGGTGACTCTCATGATGCAGCAGACCTCTCCTGACCTGCCTTCTGCTCCCCTCAGCAGTGTTATTTCAATTAATCTGCCTGTTCTGCTCCCCACTCTGTCTCTAGTGAATTCTCTCACCTTCCCTGCACCTCTGGCCTATATCCCAGTTCTTATAGGCATACATAAATAAATCCTTAAAAAAATTAAAAAGTTAACTCTGGTTATTCACCTTCTCAAATTTTATACCACTATGAGAAAAACAGAATTTAAAGTTCTAGCATAGTACCTAAGACTCTCCACAGTTTAGGCACACTCTACTTTTCAACTTTATCTTGCTTACCTTTCAGCATTAATTCAGCACTAAAACTATGTGTAATGGATCTTGTCCAACTACTTAAACATACCTGTATGCTTTGGACCATGTTTGTATTTGTTTTCTTTTTGATCTAGAATGCTTTTATCCTGCTTTCTCCAGCAATCTAAGCCATCCTTGAAAACATCTCTTGAAAACATCTCTTGAACATCCCTCAATCTCTCAGTTGGAATTAATTGTTCCTCAAGTTTGCTTACCCCTCAGTGAACATTTTTTCATTATCTTTTATTATTAATCAGTAGTTTACATGTCAATCTTTCCTATGAGCACAGAAGTATAGTACAAATTACATGGATTTGGCAGTGAATAGCTGAAGTCCTGAGTATACAGTAGTTATTGATCTTGAACAGTCACTTTTTTGAGTGTCAAAGTTCTTATTCATAAGTTAAGCATAATACCATCAATCTCATAGAGTTGTCATAAAGATCAAATAGCACTATGTAAATAAAATGTCTGGCATTGTAGGTGCTCAATTATATTCATCTCTATAGCTCCACAAAATCTGACATGATATTTTGTGTTTGATAACTGAATGATTCAGCTCTCACCTTCCCCCGTGTATCATTTAAAGCATTCTTTTTCTTTTAAGATTTATTTACTTATGCATATAAGAACTGGGGTAGAGGCCAGAGGTGTGGGAAGTGAGAGATTTCACCAGAGACAGAGTGGGGAGCAGAAACCAGACTAACTGAAATACACTGCTGAGGGGAGCAGCGGGAGGGTCAGGAGAGGTCTGCTGTGCCATGTGGGTCAGCTCCCTGACTGGGGATTGAACTCCTGCTGCAGTGACTGAGGAGAGCTTCATAGTGCTGAGCTTTAACAGGTTGAACCACCAAAAAAGGCCCTTCAAAGCATTCTTAAAAACACCTTTAAAATTTTGATACTGCTATAGGGCAACTATTTGCCAACTGCTTTTATCATCATGTTTGTTTACAATAATCCACAACTGGTTGCAAGAAAGCAGCTACTTATATTCTTGAAATGGTACGTTTACTTTTCTGGCTGTTTGACACAGCCAGAGACGTGAAAGTACTCTTACCTAGGTTTTTTTGATGTTTTTAAATATTATCATGGAAACATAGAGCAGCAACACCAATTTTGTCTACAATGATGGCATTCACAATATCCAATTTGAAAAATGAAGAACATTTCCCTTTAAAATGATATATGACACAAAAACCAGAATATGGTTAAGCTTTTGTTTTGATACAGAAAAGTCTGAAATATCAGCTCAGCCACCTACAAACTGTGCTTCCTGGAGCAAATTATTTCATCTTTTGGGGACTCAATTTTTCTCCTGTGCATTAGGAATAATAACAGTGACTATCACAGCAAAGTGTTCTCCAGACCAAATAAGAAAGCTAGCAGTGCAGTAAGAACCTAGTAATAGGTGATCAATAAATCAATTTTCTGTATCTTTCCTTCCTTGTTTTCTGAATGTACTTCAGAAAATTAAATATTTTCTGAAGCATTTCAATAATTAAAAACCAAAACCAGTTACCAAAATAAAAGAACACAATGAAAGTCATTTCTCCAGTCTCCAGGAGTCTGGATTTTTTTTTCCCCCAATTATAGTTTTTGCTAATCTACAAAGTTCAGAAATTCTCTCTGGGACTCCCAGCCATAGTATGGACCAGTGAGGCTCCACTTAATTGAAAAACTGAATTTAATAAGGAAACAATAGTTATTGTGCCTTCAAAGAGACCATTTTCTATGCTAATTTATTCTCCAATGTGTTTTTTTGTGTGAAAAGAACGTATAAGCATGTTTTTTATACTCCTGTAGTAATTCTTGGAGGGCACATTTTTCAACATGCTTTATGATCTCCTTAGTTGATGTGTCTTTACATATTTATTCATGTTTAAACAATTATTGTGTACATGTCTGTGAGTGAGAAAAACTGATCTTAACAAACTCCATAGAGAAATAAAGTGTTCTCATTGTACTAAAATTTTGTAACAAAGACGTTATTAAGCATCCATTCCCAAACAGTGGAAAATTAACGCCTAGACCAAATACTGGGCTCCTCTGCAGACCACATATGGCCACAAGCCCCCACAGACAGACTTGTAGGAAATCAGAACACAAAATGCTAAACCCGTATATGCAATGACAAAGCCTGACTTTTTCTTTAAAGGTTCATTGTATTTATGCATACAAGAGCTGTGGTATAGGCCAGAGGTGAGGGGTTTGTTTGGGGGGGTGAGAGGATTCACCAGATACAGAGTGGGGAGCAGAACAGGTAGACTTACTGAAACACACATGGCTGAGGGGAGCAGCAGGCAGGACAGTAGAGGTCTGCTGCACCATGTGGGTCACCTCCCTGGCCAGGGATTGAACTCATGTTGTAGTGGCTTCAGACAGCTTCATGGTGCGAAGACTTAACCCCTTGTGCCACCAGGGAGGCCCAAGAAAGCTGGGCTTTGACTCTCAGAATTAAGCTCATAGCCTGATACTTTACCAGCTAGTCTCTCACTTTCTTATAGACCTCGGTTGAACTTTTCCCGGCTGATTCTACCTGATTCCATGGTTACTATCTTCCTTTGAAATTATCCAGCGCTATATCTCACCGCCACTATTTCCAGTGCCAGTTTTGCCCACCCCAATCTCTGATCTGACTTTGGATAAATGCCCACCCTTAGTGGTGCCTGTCTTCTGGCCACATTCATTGCTCCTTTCCACTGTACCCACAGACCTCTGAACCTTCTGCTGCCTTCTTCCTCCACTTATTGGTCCTCTTTTTGTTTCTCTGTCCTCTCCTAATTTCCCATTCTCCATTTTACTTCTAATGGTACTGTCTACTGGTTAAAATCTCTTTACACAGACTTAAGCTCCATAGGGCACTCTACTGAGAAGGATAAAGAAGGACATACTTTTCTAAGCAAATTGAGTGGGTAAGACAATCATGGCAACCGAGCTAGAAAGAGGGAGGGGTTTCTTGCTGATATGTACAGATTTGTTGCTGTGCAGGTACATCATTCAGCAACCCGCACCTCTACATCAGGTTAGGTCCTTTTGTATCATCTAATATAAAATCACTATAATGTGAAGCCATTATTTATTTTATGGGATCAATTGTGAGCTCACTGATAGCAAGGATCCTGAATTACTCACTTCTATGTCTTTAGGCCTTGCTGTCTTACTCAGAAGAAAATCCTAAGAGCCGTTTGCTGATTCTAAACTGAAAACTTTGGATCTTTCAACTTTTATTGAAACTAGGAGGAAATAAGAAGACCCAAACATTTTGGTATGGACTTAGGAAGAACTAAAATGGGGAGGTAATACATATAAAGCTTTATTCTTCAGTCTCCAGCAACTAATGTGTGTATTAAGAACAAAAAATATTGTGTGTGCATTCTGTTAAGCATTTTTGTGTTGTGTGGTCCTGAGATCATCGTTGCAAATACAATTATTAAGGGACTCAAATGATCATGTATCCTGATGATTGTCTTTCCAGTTTGGACATCCAGCCATATCCTATAATTTAAAATGTCTTTAAAGTTGAACACAGTCTGCAACTTTCAGCTGTTCAACAAAATGTTACAGAAACCACACACTTCCTTTATTGGAAAGAGGGGCAAAGAATTGCTTCAGGTAAGAAACAGTCTAATTAAAACAGGATGAAATCTACATAAGAATAGAAGCTTCTTAACAGCCTCCTATTCTTAACCCCTGATTCTCCTATTGGGAGATCCACCTCTATTACAGATGAGGAAACCAAGGCATGTGTCAACCAGCTAGTTAGTGTCACAGAAAGGAGAGAGAAATACTATCTAACTCTAGAAACCTATATTGTAATTGTTACTTAAAATATGTCAGTGTTTTCTTGAGTGTAATGAAGCTAACAAATTTTGTGAGGTGTTCTGTTTAAAATGGGCCCAAAGGATACAGGAATATCTCTGGATCTTTAGAAAAGTATGATAGATAAGTCATATTGTAAAGAAATGTATTTAATTTTGCTTAATCCATTGTTCTCAAACTTTAAATGTTAAAGCCTGTTTTATGTTGTTTCAAATAACATCTCCCAGATTTGATATCCATGAACAAGACTTTGGAAGATGTTAGATATGGTCCCTTACCTGTGGTGCTGAGAGATTTGGAGGCTCATGACTATCCCATAAGACAAACTCAAAAGAATCTTCAAAGATTTCTCCACCGAAGTGACGATAGTAAATGATGCCATTAAATAGATCCCTCTGAAGGAAGCCAACGACAGGATAGTCTATTGAGCCCAAAAAACACATACACTTTTGAAAGAATCTGCCAGATGTTGGGATATAACAAACAATACTGGATTTATCTCCAAATATCTTCTTTGCCTAGCAGATTGTGTATACCCAGGGAATATATACTAAATGCTTTTATCAACGAATATAAATAAAAAAGTCAAAAATTAAACTTATTTATAAAAATCAGCATAAGAAAAAATATTTCAAAACACAGTCGTAACACTGATTATTTGATCCTTATTTTGCCAAACTTCTGTTCTACCTACTTTTAAGGAGTTAAATATTTGTCCTATGCCTTGCTTTGCTGATGCAACTTTTCATAAAGTAACAGTTACTTCAAGATCCACCTATAGAACTTTCTACATGTACATCCTTGGAAAGATAACTATTCTTAAGACTCGGGCTCCCCATTTACAAATTTGAATAATAACTAAAAAAGAGAAAAGATATCTATTGTAGCACAAATTCTGACAAAAATGATTGTGACTGCCCAGAACTTACCTATCAGGCCTGGACCTGGCTTCTTTGTGATCTCTCCAGCCTGTGGAGGTTTTGTAATGTTAAAGTAGATGTAGTCATCACTGGAGTCCATGTCTGAAGCGCTCAGCATGGATCCCTGAATCAGTATGGTCTGCCCCTCCTCAAGTTCAATCACAACGTTGGTTATAAGGAATGGGGGACTGTCATCTTTGGGCAATATATTGATGGGAAACTTATGGCGGATGCTGTGACGGCCGTCAAATATCCTGAAGACCACAAAATCTTTGCTGGAGTCACTGTCATCATGATGATAGCGAATAACGCCAGCCTGAAGGTCAGCCACAGTGAAGAGAAATCCTTTCCCCCCTAAAGGAGAGAGCAGAGAGCAAGCTGATTGGAAAAGGAGGTGTAGCAGTGGCAGCTGTAGAAAAAGCGAGAGCCCTCGAGAAGAGGCTGCTGAGGAGATGTGGGCAATCTTCCCCTTGGCAGGCAAAACAATGGTTGGTTTAGTGGGCTCTGGACACTTACAGGTCTAGTCCTGAATACCTGCTGATACCAGCACAGACTTCAGCTGAGACTCATTTATAAAACAGGGTTAGTAATATCCACCTCATTGTTCCTGGTAAGTATGAGGGGAGTTAAGCATCCGCAAACTATAATAAATATTATCTATTCTTCAATTCCATGCTATACTCCCACATGGCAGAATGTCTCAGAACAGTCTCAAACCAGCAGCATCAGCATCATTATCATCTGGGAAATGAAAGTTCTCAAATTCGGAATTTCTGAATCAGAAATTCTGGAGTTGGAACCCATTAATCTGGGTTTTATCAAGTTCTCCAGGAGAGTCTAAGATACGCTAAAATTTGAGAATCACTGCTTTATAGGTCAAGAACTACAACTCTGGTATCAAATGACCTGAGTTCAAATCCCATCTCTGTCTCTTTCTATAATTTAGACCAGTCGATCTCTGTATACCTCATTTGTAAAATAGGGATAAAACAGAATCTCACTACAAAAAAACAGGTATAAGACAAAGTGTGTAAAGTGTTTTGCATTGTATCTGACACTAAGTAAGTACTATTTTTTACCATCATTTGGTGCTAGCATGATGGGCTACCACTTCCCATCCCTCCAGTATTGATAAGCATCGCTTCACTCTACAACTATTGCCCAACAGCTAGGTATACTTCTTCTCAGTAACAGAATCAGCTTAAACCATTTTAAAACACTGAGGTTCCCAGACCCTGTTGCACTGAGGGATAGTTTATAAGTCTGCAGGTAATATATGTGCAGGTCATTATATCAGTCTCCGGGAAAAGTTGTTAAGTGTCCATTCAAATAACATAACTTCTTTTTCCCTTCTTACTCCCTTCCTTGACTGCAAACCTAAAGCCTGGAAGTGTAAGCGCCATCTTGTGACCACTGGTGGTGCAGAAAGAGGTGCTGGCCTTACAGATCAGAATTGCGACCCCCAAGTACTTGTCCAGTTATAAAAACAATGGATTTTTAAGACAATGTAATTAGCTTTCCTTTGCAGGGAGGGAAATTGCCTACCTTAACTAATACGCCAAGACTTAGGCTGGCCTCCAATTGTCCTGGGATTAGGTAAGCAAATTTGCCATGAATGTACCTTTTTAGTTTTTAATTGAAGAATTCCCTAATCACAAATGATGACAAATAAGAACTCTCCGCTTTATAGTTAGGCAAACTAAGAGAATGGAATTGAGCTTAATCCTCTGAGTTCACTACAAGGAATATAAAATAGTTTTAATAACATATAATATGAATATTATTTTTATTAGGGCTATTATCTTGTAAACTATCATCCCTATAACTGTAAATTCATTTCTTTAAAATTGTTACTAGTCACATAATTTTAACTTAAGTATTAAGAAACAGAAGTGTTTGTTTTTCAATTTATTTCTCTGAAGTAGAGAAATGAGAGAAAAATATTTTCACTCCCAATTGGGATAAAATAATCAGGATATTTAAAAGGAGCCCACCATGCACCCACAAGCCAAGCCTGAGATTTAGATCATGAGTGAAGCATAAAGTCCCTTCATCAGTCACTGGTGCTAGCATCCTAACACAATTCTCAACCTTTCCAGATCTCCAGACTTTCTGATACGACAATTTACTTAGAACTGCGGTTCAGAAGAGGCTATGCATATCCTGTAAATCCTGTTTTCTCTTTGGAGAAAACACTCCTTTGATCCTTTCTGAGGTCACGAAGGTTAGTGACTCACCTCCCAGTGTAAGCCGTCCATGCTGCAGACCGTCTATAGCGACTAACTGGACTGCATGGATGTTATCGTTGTCAACAATCTGGAAGTGCTCCCAAGTGATGGGTCGAGACTGTCCCTCCAGTAGATTCAGACCTAAAGAGAAAATAGAGAAGCGCTCTGGAAAATTCTATGATAGGCCAACCTGAGTACTTTAAGACAAGATACATGCATTTTCACTCAAAACACTAACTTAAGTTCTGTGTTCAAAAGCTTTTGAAGAAACTGGAATTTTGTTTTTATTTTTAGCAATATTCTTACTGTTAGTACTATTAACTCCAATCCAACAACTGTTCCTTATGATACATACTTTAGAGGCATAATGGTGCCAAAAAGTAAGTACTGAAGGAAAGAAAAGATGTAGTGTCCACTAGTTCAAAAATGTCTACAATGTTTCCAAGGCTACATCCAGATATTGCAAGTTCGCAAAGAGTTGGAAGTGCTTTTACATATATACTTTGAGCTCAAAAGCATCCCACAAGACAGAAAATGTAAAAGGGTTAAATATGCAAATATAGAGCAATTATACCAGGGGAGTTTTTAATGGTGTGAGATGGGAAAGCTTCTGACATTTGGCGATAAAGACTAAATTCTAGTTTAGCATTTAATAAGGGACTTTTGTAATCAAAGGAACTGAAAGAAAAGAATCTTAAAAGGGATCCAAGCTATTTAAAGAAATGAGTTTGTAAAAAGGTGATCCTCAGGAAAAGGGTAGGTTCCAGGTTCCCTGCCCCACCCAAAGGAGGGTGGAGCTCAGCAGAGAAGAAAAGAATCTGGACAAGAGATTGAAGAGGATGGAAGCAAGATGGAGAGTCAGAAGGTGACCTGAGGTAGGCATAGGAGCAGAGAGACTTGTGAAGAAGCAGCTCTTGCTTCTTGGCCCTGGACTGGCTGTACCAGATGTAAGAGACCCATGGGGAAGGTTAACTATGGCAGCGTTTATCTTGATATTGATTTTGCTCCTTTCTTTCATTACAGGAAAAGGAGAGGGATATCCCTAAACCCCCAACCCTGCCAGCTCTAAATAGTTTCTGCCATCCACCACATCAAGACAAGTTTGGTAGGAAAAGAGCAAAAAAAAAAAAAAATCAAGATAAACGCTGCCATAGTCAACCTCCACACAGGTCTCTCACATCTGTTTCAACCCATCCAGGACCAAGAAACAAAAGCTGCTTCTTCACATGTCTCTCTGCTCCTGTGCCTCCCTCAGGTCTCCTTCTGATTCTCCATCCTTCTTCCATCCTCTCTTGTCTCCTCTCCAGAATCTTTTCCTCCTGCTCAGCTCCACCCTCCTTTGGGTGGGGCAGGGAACCTGGAACCTCCCCCATTTTTCCTGGGGACAACCCAGTTACATCCCAGACTTGTCTGGACATTTCTGACCCTTTTCTATGGGTCCACCGGAAGGTGCTTTAGACCTACCCCATGGACTCACGACTCAGCTGGGCATCAGCTGTTAAGAAGGCTTGGGCCGGCCCTCCCTGGTGGCGCAGCAGGTTAAAGCACAGCACTGAGAATCTAAAGCCGCTTCCGCATGAGTTCGATCCCCGCTTGCCCCGGAGGTGACCACATGGCGCCGCAGACCTCTCCTGACCTGCCCGCTGCTCCCCTCAGCAGTGTACTTCGTCGATCTGCCTGTTCTGCTCCCCACTCTGTCCCTGGTGAATCCTCTCACCCTCTGCATCTCTGGCCTGTACCCCAGTTCTGTATGAATAAATAAATAAATCTTTAAAAAAAAAAAAAAAGAAGAAGGCTTGGGCAGCACCATCAGGATTTATGGGGAGCTGACATCAGCGAGGCAAGTTAACCAAGGTGAGAGGGAAGATGGAAAGGAGCTGACAGATGTTCGCCCTTTCCTCACCCCAAGTGACTCCTCCCACACATGGTGGTTCTATCTCATCCCAGAATATCAGCACTAGGAAGCTTTATGTTTTGGTAATGCTATGAGTCTCAGTCACGTGGCCTTCACTTCCTTCCTGGCTTTCTTCTCTCCTTACTCTTGCTGTAAGTGTAGGGTTACTACATACAATGTGTTTAGGGCCTGTTTGCTAGGGAAGCTGGACTAAGACACGCAGTATATGGAAAAAGGAAGAAAGAACAGGGGAGGGAGCAGTGGTGGAGAAGGAGGAGGAAGAAGGCAGCAGGGGGAGGCGAGGCCACAGCAGCAAGGTAGGAGGAAGAGGGCTGTGAGAGGAGGCCCAGCATTTATGAAGGCTCTGAACTGGCCTGAAGGGCATTTTAGCCAAAAGGCATCAACACAGACAAGGCATCATGGTACACAGCAGAAGAACAAGCAGGAAGACTGGAAGTGTATCTAATGAAATACTATCAGTGGTTATGTCTTCATGGTAAACTACTAAAATATTCCTATTATGAGTTCACTTATTTATTCATGACTATTCTCTTTTCTGTATTTTTCAGGTTGTCAATGATGAATATCTATTAAGCTAAAAATGAGGGAAAATTTTAAAGAGATCCCTAGCCAAAGTGATGCTAATAGCCAAAGTAGCCAAACCAGATGTACAGCTGTCTTCATAAGCCACTGCACACACACGCACACACACACACATACATTAAATCTCTGTGCAAGCAAAAGTTGATTTAATATATAACCATTACTAAAATGTGGGCTTCCAATTCCTTTATTTCTCTCCTGATCACTCTAATAGAGGGTCGGAACAATACATCAAGGCTGTTCAACTGGCATCCTCATCTCTACTGAAACTCCTATCCAAATGCACCTGCCTGTGTGCATGGGCTCATGTGCAAGACAGACACACACACACAAACACACACTCAACACAAGGGGTGTTCACCTGATGATTCAAGTCATACACAGGTATTTCCTCCTCAACAGAATATGTTTCTGGATGTTGTTGATGGAATTAATGGAAAGAAAAAAATCTTTATAACTCCACATTAGCAATTTATCTAAATATATATGATGCAGTGAAACAGAATAGGTCTCTCTTCCTGCCCCCTCAGATAAGCATCCCTATCAGTTGCATTTAACAAGTGTGTCTTCTTGCATTCTAAGGAAAAGAAAGACCATCCCTAAGAAGATAATAAGGAAGTTAAACTTCTAATGTAAAACATCAGGTGTTAACAAAGCAAGCTGGCATCCCACTGAAATCTCATATGATTGCATCAAAAGGGCCCTTATCCAACTTCCTTTTGCATAAATACCTCTGGCCTCTGCTTAAGAGCAGGACAGTGGTCTTTCAGATAGCACTCTGCTGCCCTCCTCCATTTGTCAACAGGTTAAACTACTTTCCTTCTCCTCAAACTCTGTTTTCCTTTATTGGCTGAGGGAAACTGAGGCCAGCATTCAGTATCACATATACTTCACTATAAGTTTCTCAGAAATGAGAGATAATGTAAAGCCTTTTTTTTTTAAGCCACTTAAGCTAATATATCATAGAAGTGTATTTTGGTTTCCATACGAACCAATTTAAAAATAAGAAATGGATTAAAATCTATACCTTCTTTTAATTCCTCTGAATGATCACCAAAATTGGAAACTTTTTCTCTCACAACCCAACTATAATTCAGTATCACAATCACCTTTTGCCTCATTCGGGTGAAATGCATTCTGCTGGCTTAACTCCCACTGAGGAAAGAATTTGATTTCAAGACATGGGAAACTGGGATTTAAGTTTCTCATTCTGCCACTAGGAAAAGAAAGAAAACAGAACCCAGGCCCTCCCTGGTTACTCCACGGGTTATAGCACAGCACTAAGAAGCTATTGCAGCCACTATCTCATGAGTTTGATCCCAGCCAGGGAGGTGACCCACATGGCTTGGCAGACCTCTCCTGACCCGCCCACTGCTCCCCTCAGCAGTGTATTTTCGTTAGTCCTTCTGATCTGCTCCTGACGTTGCTGTCAGCCTGTATAGTCGGGAGCTTCACCTGTGTTCCAGGACACCCGAGGGGCATCTGTATCGGCTGTCCTGATGGAGATGTGGACCATGATAGGGGCGCTCCTTTCAAAGAAGAAGTCATACACCTCCAGCTCCACCTGGAAACAAACAGTTGCATAAGAACCACACTTGTGGTATAATATAAAATACTATTACCGCTGAGGTATATAAGGCAAAAAACACATTCAGGCTTCTGGTACTACCTGCTCATCTTTTTGACAAACTGACCTAACTTTTTTTCAGATATTGTTCTTTAACTTCTCAATATTTTCTAATTTCCTTCTCCATGAAAGAATTTCTTAACCTGGAAAAAGATCCCTGATTTGCTCAAGAGACTATGTCAGTCTAACATCAGAAGCCTCAGGCCACTGTCTGAGGTAAAGCACCCTGAGTACTGGTTCTCAGCTGGGGGTGATTTTGTTCCCCCAGGCACGACCTGGGTCAGTCGTGGTCTTATAAATGGGGGGGGGGGGAGGGGATGCTCCTGACATTTAGTAGGTAGAGACCAGGCTGCTACTTACTTCCTGCCATGTACAGAACAGGCACCAAGAGAAAGACACATCCATTTAAATGCCAATGGTGCTGCTATTAATAGTTCTTGTGGCCCTCCCTGGTGGCTCAGTGGGTCAAATCTCAGCACTGAAAAGCTAGCTCTGGCTGCTTGGGTACGGGTTCGACCCATGACCCTTAGGTGACCTATATGGCACAGCAGACCTCTCCTGTCTCTCCCACTGCTCCCCTCAGTAGTGTACTTGTCAATCTGCCTATTCTGCTCCCCACTCTGATTATGGTGAATCCTCTCACCAACCAGCACCTCTGGCCTGTACCCCAGTTATTTCTGGAGGTGTAACATAAATATTTATTAGGTTGAGTCATACTTGTATGGTTATTATGTACTCCCTAGGGAAATGTTTTTTTTTACTAAATGCCTAATAAAAGGAGCTGTGGGCCCTTTGGTGTGGCACAGTGGGTTAAAGCACAGCACTGCAAGCTAGCAGCAGCTGCCTCGGTGGGAGTTCGGTCCCAGACGTGATCCACATGGCACGGCAGACCTCTCCTGCCTTGCCTGCTGCTCCCTTCAGCAGTGTACTTTGTTGATCTGCCTGTTCTGCTCCTCACTCTGTCTGGTGAATCCTCTCACCCACCAACCTCTAGCCTATCCCCCAGTTCCGTATGCATAAATAAATCAATCTTTTTAGAAATGAGTTGTGATTTTATTATTATTTCAAGTTGAAATTTTGAGTCTGAAAAAAAGGGGAAGGGCTGTAGCTTTGGGACCCAGGGAATGCTCAGAGAGTTTCAGGAACACCAGCCACCATCCCTCCTCCGCCCTCCAATCTCCACCCCCAGGCAGCCAAATGAGCACAGTCTAAGGAGCCCAAGGCATTTGAAAGGCACATGATCCCCAATGAGAAAACTAAATGTTACCATCCCACAAAATAATCACACATTGGACAGGTGCTGCTCTAAAATCACGATGCAATCCCAGAAACTACTCCCAAGCAGCAGTCAGAACAGCAGTGCTTTATCTGTGATCTTGACAAAAATCTGGAAGTCCTATGAGAAATTACTTCAAAATAGGGAAAGTAAAAGAGAGGTGAGTACCGGAAAGAAAACACAGTTGCCACATATGCATAGACTGTTATGAAGTGAAGAAAAGCCCAGCAAAGGGCAAAGCAAAGCATTTGCTGGATAGTCTGGATTCTTTGTGTGCCCTTGAGACCTAAAGCTGAAAACGCCTAAATTAAATGGAGGACAATTTGGTAACCCCAGGGACACTTAATAACCTGAACTAAGTCTGTATCAATCTGTTCATTTAAATTTTCCATCCTGTTTGAATCAACTTGCTGGTAGGTCTTTAAGTATGTGAAGGGTTATTATGTGCAAGTCTGGAACCAGCTGTTCTCCACTCCCACTGAATACAAAAGGGAAGAGGCTGAAACTGAAGCAGAAAGGATTCAAGTTAGACAGAAAGAACTTTCCTGATGTGGTGACTGGTGAAACTATTGCATTGCTGGAAAAGTCAAGAAGTATTTTTTATGTTTTTCAAGCAAACATACATCATGACTTTTCCAACAACCCAATAGTTATTAAAAGGGAGCATGAGTCACTATTATTAATGAAAATTAAGGACCCTGGTGAAAAGCTCACACCAACAGAAATGAATGAGAATTTTTAATAAAGCTGTCGACATCGATTTCTAACTCAGTGGTCTATAGTGCAAGAAGGCTGCTGAGTCCACAGAGTCCTCAAACAGGTAATCTCTGGGCAAAGCGTGGGCACAGAAATATTTTGTAGTGATGGAGGAAAAGAGTAGAAAACCTGAAGAAGATATCCCAAGATTAAAACCTGACTCACACAAGGAGGTGGGGGCAGAAGGAACTAATATGGCCATTATCCCAGTCATAGAAATCAAGGTATTTATAGTGCCTTATCACAAGGCATAGGGCCCAAGCAGGCATCAAAATGCCGTATGAGACTGCTGTAGAGAGTGTCAGAAACACAGACTTGAGGGTGAAGATGCAGAGATTAGATCCCTTGTGAAATTTCTGGTCTTTTTAGGATTCACAGTTATCCAAAAAGCAGCAGCAAACAGGCCACTCCACAAAGGAATGAGCCCCCATCTCCCCAAAGAGAAAAGGACTTTATCAGTGCAGTCTCTGCAATGGCCCAGGGCAGCAGTCCTTCTGCCCACTTGTGCCTATGCAGGTGCTTCTTCCCACCCACTCTCTCCCTCACAGGGCAGCAGCCTACTGCATGCCCATGACCTCTACCTGCTAGGACCTCTCTGCACTGACCTCCCTCAGGGGAGGCCGCTCTCCTCAAAGCCGCCTGCCTGGGACCATGCAGGCCTCTGCATGTCCCTGTCAGGGCAACTCTTCTTGCCTGCATGTGCCTATGCAAGTGTCCTTTACTCCTCTGTTCTTTTCCCTAATAAACCTGCTTTTTAAATATAACTGTCATCTCTGTAGTGTGGAGAAACTCGCCTGGGGAACCGGCTGTGTGCTGCTTAAAGGGAGGCTCTGTGAAACCTTTTCCAGAGTGAACCCAAGGACCTCACACTAACTCCAAAAATGACATCATAGGTATCACAATAGCTTTTAAGTTTTTATCAGTTTCTGTATTAAAAAAATTGAGGGCCCTTCCTGGTGGTGCAGTGGGTTAAAGCTCAGCACTATGAAGCTATCCGCAGCCACTGCAACAGTTTGATCCCCAGTGGAAGAGCTCACCCAGACAGCACAGCAGACCTCTCCTGTCTCACCTGCTGCTCCCCTTAGCAGTGTATTTCAGTCCATCTGCCTGTTCTGCTCCCCACTCTGTCTCTAGTGAATCATCTCAAACCCCCGCACCTCTAGCTTGTACCACAGGTCTCGTATGCACAAATAAAACTTTAAGAAATTTGAGCTGAGGCTACCAGAGGGGAGGAGGGGGAGAGCAGGTAAGGATGAGCACAATGGACTACAGTGAGGACAAGGGGGGCCTTGGAGGTGGGTGTGGTGTGGTATGACCGTTACACCTCTGTTTTTTCAAGGGTCTGCTAACCTGAAATAAAAATTACCTGCCTTTCAAAATCTGGGTGCATTTTTTTTCCACTAGCTGTGAAATTCTTCTTGGTTGTTATTTTAATTAAAATATAACATAAGTAGGTAAAGGCACTCAAACTATATATATGTTGCTTAAAATATGCAGAAGTATGGGGGAAGGGTGGAGAAAAGACAAGGAGGAAATAAGTTCATAGTTAGAATTTAAAGTAAAAAATAAATAAATATCAAAATATTTTTATGGGGCCCTCCCTGGTGGCACAGCAGGTTAAAGCACAGCACTAAGAAGCTAAAGCCACTTCAGCATGAGTTCAATCCCTGCCTGCCCCAGAGGTGACCCACATGGTGCGGCAGACCTCTCCTGATCCTCCCACTGTTCCCCTCAGCAGTGTACTTCAGTCACTCAGCCTGTTCTGCTCCCCACTCTGTCTTTGGTGAAACCTCTCACCACCTCTGCACCTCTGGCCTGTACCCCAGTTCTGTATGCATAAATAAATAAATCTTATAAATAAATAAATATGAGACTTGCCAAGTCTCTGGACAATGGAGAAAAGGAGCAACACCAGGTGTCTCTGTTCTTACAAGCCTCTACTCAGTGAGTCACAGATTCCTAAAGACCAGCTCTTCCTTCAGGCCTTCTCCTTCCAGTCTACTCATTTGTGTCACCTGTTTGGTGCCCCAGGGCACTGGGATCAACATCCTTTTTTACAGTGACTATCTTTAGGGATAGAACATACAAACTATCCTAAAAGCTAAGAGAAGTGGCCTCTTAAATAAGTCTGTGAATACCAAGTAAGCTAGAAGCTTTGTCTCTTGCTCCTTACCTCATAATGTCTCCTCTCAGAGTGGCTGCTGTTTGGTGGCTGGTAGGCGATCTGCATGTCACTTAGATCTTGCCAGGTGAATGAGGAGATTGGTCTGGTGTGATCCAACAAGTGAGTCACGTAGCCTTGGAGCGGGGGTTTGGTGATGTTGAACACCAACAGCGGTTTGGGGGTCTCATCCACTTCACAGTCCAGAACTGAGGTTGTCAAAGAGGTCAGGATAAACTGATCTACTTCCAGAATAAACATGGCCATGAATGCAGCCTTTGGAATCTGATTAGGAATGCCAGCTCTGATGTAGACAGGCAACCACGTGCTTTCTGACTTTTGAAGGCAAAATAAAATATGAAAGGAGGAATAGTATGAATGAAGCTATCACATACAGGGTTAACAGCATTATGATTAACATAAAGCCACAGCCTAGACAATGTACCTGCAGTGGTTTGAAATCTGGTTGCATATTAAAAACATCTCAGGAGTTTTTAATTCATCTTAATGCCCAAACTCTACCCCCAGAGGTTCTAATTTAATTGTTTCAAGGAGGCCACAGAACTGGTATTTTTGAAGCGCACCAGTGGCTCACATGTAGCCAAAATTGAGAAGAGACACCAATTTGGGCATCAAAAGGAATGACTCTACCTCCAGCACAGATGATTGGAGTAGCCTTCCATGAGTTACTTAACTTTAAGTCTCCCTTTCCCCATATATGAAATGGAAAAACTAGAACCAAAGTGATGAGAAAATCAAACTCATGCACTTAGTGTCACTTTGCCAAACTCCTCTGGTCACCTACTTCTGACTGTGTCGTTTTAGAAAAGTAAGGGGCAAGATGAAGAAAAATGTCCTTATAACTGAATACTCATACAACAGAAAGATAGCTGCACAGCTGTCTAGTAAGCTAAGACTCTGGTTCTCTTCTCAAATGAGAGACCTGTGATGATGATGTCTTCTTGATGGGGTTCTCCAGAGATAGCACGAACTTGCGCCATGAGGTCTGAGATCTCAAAGAGTGCTATGGGCAAAAAGAACCCTCATACTATGAATGTATTTAATTATCAAGAGAACCCATGCTCAATTATTAGAGTCAAATTTGTTCAATACTGCTGAACAAGGAATATGACTAGGAGTTATATCTATACATAACAGAATGTTCAAAAAATGGAATTGTTCTTGGTCCATTCTCAACAGAAAATCCAAGAAAAGAGGTAACAGATTTCAAAGTAAATGAGAAGTACACGTTATGAAGCAAACGTCTAGAAACAGTTTCCAGACTCTAGAACCCTCTAATCCACTCTAAGAATATAAGATAGTTGAGAGAGGTAAGGGAAAGAGAATTGTTCAGAAAGAAAAGTCCTGGATTGTACTGAGTTATTACCCTTACACCTCCACCCCAACCCTGCCACAGCTCCATGAAGCAGAAAAACTGGGGCAATATTATAACACATGTCTAAGTGTCAGGGGAGAAGTTTTCTTGAGACCAGACTTAAAATTCTTTTCATAGGTGATCCACATAGAGGACTGATTCTGCTCTTATACCCAAGAAAATTAAGTGACCAGGTGGAAGGACAATGTGACTATGTAGGTATCAGCCTGTAACCCTTGTTTGTGGCAGAAAAAAACATAGATGTATGCTTCCAAATAAGGGCTAAGAGGGACAGGCGGCTCATCTGGGATCATCCTGTACCCTGATCTTTAGGGTGCATTCTTGAGAGGACAAAGAATTCCATCAGCAAGAAGTTGAAGGTGGAAATTATATCCTGCAAGCTACAGGAGGAATCACAAGTAACCACTCAAGCTTGAAATTCATCCTCCCAAGAAGAGAGTTCCGCGGGTGAGAGCCCTCTGTGCTAGAAGATCTCCCAAGGAACCAGGAAATTGCCCCAGAGACAAAGATGGGGCTGAAACATCTGCCAGACTCAGAGAGCATGAAGTCTTATTCCATCAGTGCCTGATCAAATCAGAAGTACCCCTTTAACGCTCCCCCCAAACTATCAGGCCTCTAGTCTGGAAGTCTAGGCACTAGCCAATAAATTTCACAAGAGACAATCTCAGAGATGAACCCTCCCTATCCCACTGTTGGTTTATGAAGACAGATGAAAAATATGTTGATACATCCCCGGGACTAGTGTACCCATTCTTCACATGCCATTGAGAATTATTTGAGATGCATAATTTGAAAATTCTAGAATGGGGATATCCTGGGAAAAGATCAGGGCAGCTGGACTGGTAACAGAGCATTAGAGCCCAGGTAAAGC